CAAATCTGGTTTTAATTCTTCATAATTAAGAATTTAGGAAGGAGCTGGGTGGGAGCAGAATCACCCTTTTTTTCTTCAGTTTCCTCCCAGTTTGGTCTCAGCAAAGGACGGATCCAACTCCCATGGAAGCTGGGCATATTCTTTCCACTTCAGCCGCTAATTAAAGGTCGGTCTATGCAGGAGCTGGATCCTGTTCTCCAGATCCAAAGCAATCGAAACAATATTCCATTAAATACAAATATCTTCCCCTTGCTTGGCTTCCATTTCCCTTGGGAGGGGTATGGAGTCTCCTCAAGGAGGCCAGGCCGACTGCTTGGAAAACATCATCCCCATGAGTCTGTGGTGAAGGGAAGGGGCAGGGTGAATGGTGCGTGGTTCCCAACGGTTGTCTCCAGCAGCCTGCCGCAGAGGCAGCGACGCAGATGTAACCTGCTGGCTGCCGTGTGCTGCGCCCGCTCCAGTTCCTTGTTAGGGGCTTTGGTTCTTTCGAGTCTGACTCAGCTTCTGAAAAGACAGGTTTGGGGCAGGGGCTGGCTTTGTGTTTTGTGCATGTACGGCATCTCGCACAATCAGAGTCCCGAGTCATGATGACCAGGGCTTATCGCTGCATATTGAAGCAATACATATAACAATAATGAAAAAAATGATGTCATTACATACACAGCAGAGTCATCAGTCCACAGCAGAGAGGAAGAGGAGTGAGTAAGGAAGCCACGCAGGTATTTGTTCACCTCGTGGTCATACTGGCCAGTGCACAATGAGAGCGTTGTGGCAAAAACGTGGAAAGCATAATGGGATGGTTTTGCAAGGAGGAAAAGTAAAACCTTTTCCATTTGTTGAAGGTCTGCGTGGTGTGCGCACATGCACTCTCGCAAATAGGAGAATCCTTACCACTTCAAATGACCAACGTCCTATTTTGATCATCATCAACTTTCCCATTATAAAACACAAAGAAATATTCACAAGTTTCAATGCAAAAGCCTCATTTTTGACAGGGAAAAGCTGCATTTTTAGGTGGTTAAAATACCCCCAAATGAAATTATGAAAACATTTCATGAGCAAAGCGGCAGTTTTGCCTGGTTCTCTGACACTGCTTAAGCAGGGCTGCAGGAACAGACCCAGAGATTGTCCATTATGAGGGCCATTAAAATTCTAACTCAATCTTTAAGGGATGTGACTTTGACTTTACCCCACTTATGAAGAATTAAAAGCAGATTTGGTTGGGATCTACTTCAAAAGTGCCTCTCTGTTCCCTCTACAACCATCATCCTGCTTCCCTACATCATAAGGCTTGGAGCAGGGGGCACTGTACAGTCACTGCACTCTGACTCTGCTTGCATACATATGAGCCTACACAGTCTGGAACTGCTCAGAGAGAGGAGAAAGCACTTTCTCCTAATCTCCCCTTTGCTGTGATAACGATGGGGGTCTCCTTCACCTACAGCACTGACTCTCTAAATCCTGTACAAGGGCTCGCCTGCTAGTCTAATGACAGCACAACACACTGGTCAGGCAATTGAGCCTGGAGATTAGAAGTTAAATCCTCGCTCCATTGAAGTCAACAGGACCATTGTCACTGTGTTCAGGGGTCCAGGGTTGATACCCCGACCCTCCGGTGGGGGTCAGCTGCTGCTGGGCTGAAAGGCGTCTTGTGACACTCGCTAGGCTCCCTCCGTCAAGAACGATGCTCAGCCTTTTCTGTTGAAGGGGAAGTTCCTACTGCAGGGGCCAGCCAGGACAGCCATCAAAAGGTGTGGAAACTTTCCATCAGAAGAAATTCTTTCCTCCCTCCACGTGCAGGCCCCAGTGCCATAGCAATGAAGTTTGGTGCCTGGGGCAAAGCCTGCAGCGGCAGCCCACCCTCATCCCATGCACAGATCTGCAGGGCATACACCCTGCCATGCTTGCCTGGGAGCACCCGCGGCGGCAGGGGCCGCCCTCCCCACATCCCCACACCCCCCCAATGAGCCACTCACACCCCGGCTGAGCAGCCCCTGTTGGCGCCCCTTCGCTTTGGCGCCCGGGGTGGGCACCCCGCTCGCTTCCCCCTTGCTACGGCACTGGCAGGCCCGTTCTTGTTTCCAGCAAGCAGGAAGCTCACTTTCGGCCCAGCTCAGACACAGGTGTAGATGGGGGAGTAAGAAGCCAGGACTGGCCTCATCAGAGCTCAAAGTAGGGGCAGGTGCCTGGCCTCTGTGTCCATAGGAGGCTTGTTGTCTGGAGCACGGCTGAACTGTTCAGATGCAAGAGGCTGTGACGGGGCAAAGCCTGTTTAAACGCCCCGAAGCTGAGGCTGGAAGAGAGCTGCTGTAGGGCTAGTGGGCCTCCCGCTGGAAGGAGAGTGGGGCTTCCTGCCTCTCCCAGTGCTCCTGAACCACCAGTGCTTCAACCTCCGGGGATGTTTAGGATCCCCAAAAAGGGGGTTTCCCTAACAGCCCTTAACCTATCATCAGGGATAAGCCTGGGCTCTGGTCTGAGCGCTGTGGATTGTGGCCCCCTGTGAGATTTCGGTCCGAGGAAAGCAGTCCTGCAGTGAGGCCGGAAACCTGCAGCTCTTGTTTTGCCTCTGTCTGCTGAAAGAAAGGGGCTCTCTCGCATCAGATACCTGCCCCCCCGCGCAGGCAATTGTCCACTGCCATCACGTCCTGTGCTGTTACTCTGTTTTGCCCCCCACGGTGTACAGAAAATATACCTTAAGCCTCTCAGGGATGCCCTATGAATATAAAGTCTTGATAATCCTGACTAGCTTGCCCTCAAACCCGTCCACAACATCAAGACTAGTGGGACGGAGGTGATGGTGCTTCTCCGTGCGAGCCGCCGTGTCCTGACTGCAAGGCCAGCCCAAGGGGGGCACCCGAGTCCTCGTGGAGGGACAGTCCATCAAAGCCAGAGCTGCCCGTGGGAGTTTTTAGTGAGGTAAGTTCTGTTCTGGAGTATTTATGGTTTGGTTATCTCCTGTTGCTATGGGTTAATGATTAATACCAGCCAGATTACCAGGCTTCCTGGGTGAAACGAGGTGGGACTCTGGGTCCAGAGGACTTTGTCGGAGAACTCCAGACTTTGTCTTTGGTGTGGAAATGCCCGTGTATTTTTCCTGTGGAAGTAATGGAGGCAGCAGTAGTTAAGACAGATTTGGAGGATCTGGATTCTGCAGTTTCTCCCAGCATATGACCTTGGACAAGTCCTTTCACCTGCCTGTGCCTCCATGTCCCACGTGTAAGCTGAGGATAGTCATATTTATCTACTTCACTGGCATGTTTTGAGCCTTGCATGACCATGTCATGCTTTCAGACCCCAGAACCAGGGTGCAGAGAACCACTATCGTGGTTAGAAAATACTTTCCATTGCACGGCAGGTTTCCTCTAGCTTCATATGCCTTTAAAACAGGCAAAAAGTAGAAATCAAAGAAGAGTGTTAATCATCAAAAATATAAGCAGAATATGAAGAGGGCAATGTGAATAATTGGTGCTCAGATGCTAATTATCCAGCTCTAGACAAACCTAACATATTACACACATCGCTAGTACGAATGGCCTCTGGACCAGATTGCTGTCTTCCCCATAGCTATCGTACTGTTATCTCTGCATGGGAGTCATTCCAACATCTGCTAACATCGGCATATCCCCAAATATATTTCTGCTAACCTGCACACAAACCGGGGAGATTGCAGCAGAGCGGGGAGAGAAAGGGGAAGAATATGGACCTTGGCCCCAGCGAGGGTTTAAGGAAGGGCAGATCCTGCAAAAAGCCCGGCTTGGGGCGTCAGACCGAAAAATGCTTGTTTCTCTCTTAAGGCTTTGCTTGTGTTGCCCTGATCTGCAGGTAAAAGTGTGAGCTCCTTTGTTTCCACCCAGAGAGTTGGCCCTTTCTGCCTTTTTTGACTGCAAAACAAATTCCCTGGGCTCTGTCTTTTTTTTACTAATGGCATGATCCAGCCCCCACAGAAGTCAATGGGAAAATTCCCACAGATATGCACGAGCAGCATATATCTGCCACTGATGTCGGTGAAAGGTGGTGAATGGATGGCCTGGGAGACAGGAAGGGGCTGGTTCGTTACCACTTGGTTCTTTGGGGCATTGCTTCCTCTGTGAACCGGGCAAGCTATGGAGGGAGACACTCGTGTAGGAGCATTTTACTCCAGGGCTCTTTGTACGTTATGCTCATATAGCACTTAGTTTCCTGGGGGCCTGGTCTGCGACTGTGGGTTGTGGGTGCTGCCACCATGTGACTACTTGATCCACGTTGCACTTGATGCCTCTGTCTCTGGATGCAATGCTCCTTTCGAAGGCCATAGCCACTTGGGTCCCAAATTCCAGGGAACGCTGTAAGCCTCGAGGGGTGGAAGCCTATTGATTCTGGGGAAAATGGGAGGACACAGTGAGCCCTGCCCTCCGGCTAGCAGAGCCCCCTCAGTCATCATCAGTAGATCAAAGATGCTTAAATCAAGAGGGGAAAGTCAGATGCTCCCTTGAGCTTTGCCTGTTATGTTTTTACGTTAAGAGATCCCAGCTCTGTCTACCTGCCTGGGGCTGCTCAGAGTCGGTTCCTTGATGAGGAAGGTTGGCCTTGGTCAAGGCTCTGCATTGGCCTCTTGAGATTTGGGTTCAGTTTTCAACTCAGCTACAGAATTGTTGTGTGGCCTTAGGTTTCCTGCATGCCAGCTCCCCAGCTGTACAAAGGGCTTGCTAAAACCCATGTGCTGGTGTCTTATCTGCATTGACAGGAAATGCTTCGGGACAGTCCCTTGCAGTGTGTATGTGCAGCACCCAGCACGATGAGACCCTGAACTCTGCTGGGTTCTCCTGGTCCTACTGTGATATAAGTGATGTAAGGCCAGCTTTATCCTCAGAGGAGGTACGATGCTTGCATCCTTTGACAGGGGTTGGGAGCAGTTCAGGACACTAGGCATCCCAGGGGCCAGACCCGGAGCAGCTGGGCTCTGAGCATTGCTTGGGTTTATTTCCAGCCAATACAGAAGTGTGGCAGAGTGAAAAAAAAAAAAAAGATGTGGAGCCCCACAGCTTGAAAAGCACCTGCCTTGGGGGGTGCAGCCTTGGAAAGGGCTACACCTGCCTCTTAAAGGGGCCAGCCGGTAGTGCCAGGGCTCTCCCTCCCCTTTGTTATAGGAGGAGCTCCCTCTCTGCTCCCTGGCAAAGCAAGGTAACTCTTACCAGAAACTAAATGGAGACATTAAAGAGGCTCAAAAGAGACTTGTACATTTGATGTGACCGGTAGAGAGCATCTGAATGGAGAGGGGGATGCCTGCTGCTGCTTCACAATTGCAAGCTCCGTTCTAGGGGCTGTTTGCTTCTTGCTGTTTCCCAAGGACAGACAGCAGCAGCTCCAGGGAAAGAGATGTTTGTACACAAGCCATCCCTCTCTGCTGCTCTTAGGCCAGGGCTGTTGGTCTGCTCTGGCGTGGAGCAGCTGTTGCTCCTTTTGCAGCATGGAAAACTGCCTCCTCTTCAGCTCCTCTTGCTTTCCCCCAGAATTCCCTCTAATGAGCTTTCCAGTTCTGCTCCAAGCCTAACCTGGCAGGACCCCCACTCCTGCCAAGGTCCATGCGCTCTTCCTCAGGAGCAGAATGCCACATCAGCAGGTCTCACAGCAGCAGGCTTAAGCCTTGGGGGAATGCGTGTGATCCTCCTGAGAAGTTGGCTGTCCCTTTGCTGCCTCCCTCCTCTGCCTTGTGGGCAGGCTGGTGTTGCTCACATGCACCTCCAGGGCCCTTTGCTGACGGCCCCATCTCTCGAGTGGTCAAAGGGGGGCCAGAACCTGAGAGAGGGAAGCTAAGCAAGAGAAAAAGGAGCCGCGCAGTGGAGGGAAGAAGGTTTTGCCTGCATCTAGCACTGCCCGTAGTCTCTGCTCCACCAGGCAAAGGTGGGGCAGCTTACAGTCGTGGAAACGGGAGAGAGCCCACCAGGGCATTGCGGGACAAAGGTGGGTTTTTGACTGAGATGAAGCACGCTCCCCCCTTCCATCCCCGACAAAGGAGAGGCCTGCGGGTGTGCTAATGGCTCTCAGTCAGGGTTGTTTGAGGTATGGGTTTCCTTTAGTAGCAGATGAGCTCAACTGGACCCTGGGTCCTTCACTTCACTCCAGCCCATCTGTTTCAGCCTTTTTCACAGCCTCTCTCTAATGGAGCCAGGAGGCGGTAGCACGGGGAAGGCAGCTATGCTCTGTCCTATAAGGAGGACACAGTCTTGAAGAGCCTGTAGGCTCAAGGCTTATTAATGAAGGGACACACATGTTTTTTATCTGGGGGAAGAGAGAGACAGGGTGTGTGTGTGAGAGAGAGAGCGCGTGTTGGGGGAGAGCAACCTTACACTGTCACCTCCCTTCCAGCATGAATGCTACTGACATCATGATTAATTTATCAGGTGCTTATGAATATGCAGATGAGGCTCCAGTTTCCAGGCTCTGCTTTCAGGAGAGAGGCTGTGTGATGGGGTTGCTGCCGCTGCCGCTGCCTCAAGAAGAGAAATGTCATGTAGCGGGGCTGGAAATAAATATATAAAGTCACTGCTGAGGAAGTCAGGATCTCTGCTGCTCCACCTGGGCCGAGAGAGCTCCTCATCTCCCCGGGGATCTGGGGCTCCTTTGTGCTACGCGCACGGTCTTCTTCCCCCCACCAAAGTTGATTATGTTTAGGGGAGAGAAACCCTTACTGGGTGCAATCACCTGCAATCTCTGGCAAGCCAAAGAAACTTTCCACCCCCCTGCTGAAAAGTGGAAAGGTTTCATTTGCCTGTAGGAGAGAAGGTGCTTTTGGCAACGGGGTGGGTAGGGCTGGAGCCCAGGGACATGGCACTCACCCGTCTCCATCAGCTTCTCCTTCTCCTTGGAGCTCCGGCCCAGAAAGCCAGAGGAACAGGTTGTGCAGGCTGTCTGTTTGTACTGAGGGCCCTGATGAGGGGAGCTGGTGTGGTGCTTAGAGCAAGGTCCCGATGCAGGCTCTGGGGCTGACGGCCCCTGTCCCAGTGCAGCAGCAGCACCAGAGGCACAGAGGAGAGTAAAGATGGGGGCCTGGGAAGTGTGGTTGCGGGGAGGGGTGCAAAAGGCAGAATGAGGCCCATATGAGTGAGCCAGGGGGTGGTGGGGCCTTGTGTCCTGTCACCGTGAGGTTTGGTGTGTGGCGGGGGAACGTGCATGGTCTTGAGCTTGGAGGACAGGGAGTGGGATCAGGGTTTGGCGCCTGTCGCTGCTGCCCAGTTGTGTGGCCATTGTGGACTAGAGGAACTAAACATTTCCTACTGCAAGCAGCAGGGCTGCTGTGTCTCTAAAGGACGTGGGGCCCCTGGGATGGGAGGCTCTGAAGAAGGATGCGGTTCCTCCCCAAGTGGAACAACACTGCTGCTTCCTCGGTGCACCCGGAGACTGGAGCAGACAGTTTGGTGAGGAAGAACCCCCACCCCGAGTAGCTTGTAACTTCCCTAAAGCCCAACGGCATCCACCGAGGCCAAGGAGCTGCAGCCCCCGGCTCCCACTGAAGTGGAGAACATTTGTCTGCAAAGTCTCGTGGAAAGACGAGGCACTGATGCTGAGGGCGTTCGCGGCGAGGCTCAGAGACACCCGAGGAGAACCTGCTGCTCCTGTGGAGGAGAGCAGCTGGGAGGACGGGTGCCCCTACCTGCCCAGAGCCACGGGCATCTGGGAGAGCAAAGGGGCTGGAGCTCTGGGTGTAACAGCAGCTGAGACGGGTCCTGCCCAGCACATCTTTCGTTCTTGCTCAGTGACCATTTCTATCACAGCTGGGCAAGGCTTGGCGGCAACAGCCACAAGGCAGTGGCATTCTGGACTGGTCTTATTCAAAGACTGCCAGCAGCACCACTAGTGGGTTGGAAGGATTTCCCTGACCGGTGGAGTCCTCCCCTCTCTGGGGGCTTCCCAGCTGCTCCTTGCAGCCATGGCTGAGCCTGGAGGCTCATAACAAAGTGTTCAAAAGCTCAAGGTCTCAGTTGCCCGGCATCGCAGCTTGGGTGCAGTGCTGTGCAGTCCACTGCCAGTGTGGACAGGTCCAGCCCATGGCCCTGAGCGCCTGGTTGCTGACTGGCATCAGCTTCTTCTTTGGCAATGAAAAAATAATGAGCAAGTGGAGGGATCCTCTGGGAGCCCACCCCACGTCTGAGGGCCAATCTGTGTCTGCAAGCCTAGAAGGGGAGTGTCATCCACTGGTCACCGAGGGTACATCCGCACGGTGGCAGCAGAAAGAAGCCATGCCCCCAACTCCCACGCGGGGTGTGTCGACCCAGGAGTGATGCGGTGAGGGGCAGCCTGGCACTGTTCAGGGCCTGGGTCTCTGAAGAGAAGTGGCTCGGGCACCTCTCGCTTGCTGCGCTTCCCTGTGAGTGCAGGTGTTCGGTTTCCAGCAGCCTCGCCTGGGGCATGTGGGGAGGATATGCGAGAGGAAGGGCTGTGACAGCGGGAGTGGGGAAGGGGAAGTGCAAATGGAGGAAAAGGAAGACAGAGAGAAAGCGGATGTCTCTGCAGTCTCTCTCGGGTGGTTGGAGAGGTGACAGGGTGGCTGTAGTGACATGAAGGCTGGCTGGCTTGGGTGGCTGCAGCTTTGGGTAATGTGGGATCCTAGGAGGAAGCATTCACCTAATGTGCTTAACAGGGGCTAGGGAGTCAAAACACTGGTTTAGGAAGCTTTGCCTTGGGACCGTCCCCAGCAGGGCTTCAGACACACACCACAGACCAGCGTCCCTCCCCCCACCCAGCCTTACAAGGGTGGAGGACACGTCCTCAGGGGGTGACCGGTGAGATGACTTGCGGAGATCTTTTGCCAGGAGAAGCCTTTGCTTTGGGGTAAAAGGCCAAATCTCCAGATGTGCCTATGGTCCTGCCCAGCAGCCAGAGCCCTGGGTACCAGCTGTGCCCATCCCCAAGGCCTCAGTCAACTTGCGCAGATGGAGAAGCATGAACTGTCATCCTTGCAGGAGAAAGAGCCTTTGGCTGCCCCCACGGGCACTCCAGGAGGCCTGGTGCGTGCAGGAGCCATGGCTTGGCTCCAGGGCTCTGCCCCGCAGCCAGGACTGGCTGGTTATGGTGCACGGCCCCCTGACTTCAGAACTGAATTTGGCCCCCTTGGAAACCTGCGCCTGTTCAGAGCTGCCAAAGCCCAGCACTCCTGTGTGGGGTGGAGATGCCCAGTTCCTTGCTAGGGTGGGACAAGTAGCTTGGGGAAGCCGTGGCAGCTCCGTCCTCGGAGGCTGGCATGGCATGGCCAGGCCGGCTGGGCACGGTGCCCTGCAGGTGCCTCCCAGCCCGTGGCTCCGAGTCCCCCCAGGTGCTTGCTGGGGCTGGGGGAGCTTCAGCCCCGGGTCCATCCTCACCCCCTCCTGGCCCCCGCACCGCTCGTGCCAGCTCCGCAGCCCCTCGGGAGCTGCCGGGGGTCGCCGGGCTCGGCCTGGAGATGTGCCCCCTTCTCTTGGCTGGTAACAAAGACTCCCGAGCTGAGCCCCGTCCCAAGCCGGGCGATCCCGGGCAGGCGGCGGCGGCGGCGGGCGCAGCGGGCCGGGCGGACGCTAGGAGGAGCTCCGGCAGCTGCCTTGGCC